TCATGGGCGTTGCGGGAGGGGACAACTATCTTTAGATAATTGATAAGTGGTTTGCCCCTCCCCAGAAAAATCCTGGCGACGCCCATGTAACCTCTTCTAGCTAATTCAAGCACAGTACACACGTGCCAATGGTTAAGGGTTTAGGAGCCATCTAAACAATTACACAGTTTTTGAGAAGCTTAAGAGGCTTCCTCTTAACAGTGTCCCATTCACTTGTCTGTAATCTTAACAGCATCAGATTTTTTTATACCTAGCATGGTTACATACTTCAGTTATGCAGAGCAAACTACACAGAACCATCACCACACAGATTCCCAGGGTGACAAAGCTCTTGCGCCGAGGTGGAAAGAGCCTGGGGTATTCGTCCACTAAGCTCGTAGCCAACCTTTCAAGATTTACAAACTGGAACAGAAAATGGAGTAAATTTTGGTGGTCCCCGTCTCTGACATATTTTCCCTTCTTCTGATCACTCAAGCTAAGAGACTTACATGCAAAAGTTACCTTAACCCTCCCAGATCCTTCAAAATTCCGCAGGTTCTAGGACAATACAGTCTACTGTAAACAAGTCTTAATTGTCCATGAAACTGAAGTGGGAGGAATAATGCCACAATAGGTCGATGTACAATTGCACATTAAAATTAAAATTAAAATTACACACCAAATCCAAGCTAAAATAAACAGCTGAGGTAGGACCCTGAACTAATGATATCACTTTGTTAAGAGGCGAAAAAAGGAAAGACCAATTTTAAAGAGAAAAATCAGTTTTCTCCTCAGTCAGCGACCTCTTTGATTGCAGCATTCACGTGTTTGATCCTGAACACCAAATCCTGTTTGATGACTATACATGGGCGCAGATCCAGGGAGGTCGATCCCCCCCGCCCTGACCCCCCAAAAATTTAAAAATAGGACATATAACAATTACAAAATAACTATTTTAAGCGCACTTCTGCCGGCAGTGGAAAAGAAATGACATCATGTACAATGTTCCATCATCGTTTCTGCTTGTCCGCATATATGAGGCATTAAAAAACTCTCCGACTCGACCCCCCCCGAAAAAGTCCTGAATCCGCTCCTGGTGCACCTTGTGAAGTATACCGGTATAAGGAATGTAGCAGCAGCCACCAGTTATTGTGAACTATAGATGCAAACGACCAAAAGTGTTTGGTAAGTGTCACAAGGTCTTGCGTGATTCTAGCTCGCCCAGATGAAATCCACAACTTCACATGCCTGAAAATGCTACTTTCCCAAATTAAACATTTTCACAACATCGCTAAATTTGTTTGGCGATGTTGCCCTATTTTTGCAACGATTTACCATTTACAAATTTATTTCCTGATATCAAGAACTTCTTTCCCCATGTTGCGAATTTTTTTCACAACATACATTCATGTGGCAGATTTTGATGATGGATTGTTTTCAGTGCATGTTAACCTGGCTTAGAAACTCAGCACATTTGCCACTAAAAATATACCTAACCTTTTTACTTGAGGGAAAAGGTTGGAGAGATTTGGTGCAAATGGATGACTTGTATGTATGTCAATTCTATCGGGTAAAGCAACTCAAAATATCAACAGAAAATGCAGTCCACGGCTGCATTTCATGACATACTAGGAATTATGGTTTTGTGAAGAAAAAAAGCGCCATGTGGAGTAGAACACTTGAGATGCCGCAAAGGAGAATTCACGATGACATGTAAAGGTGGTAGCCATAAAATGTTTGCACTGCCATGAAAAAGATACAAAAAAACTACCTGGCTATCCAGACCCAATGTAATGAGCATGAAGAAGAACAGAACCGACCAGAAAGGAGCAGCCGGCATTCTGGCTACTGCCTCTGGGTAGGCGACAAACGCCAGGCCAAACCCTGAAAGGGCGAACACAAGACAAATGTTCAGACATGGGTGAAAGATTTGGAGGAAAAATGGTGACGTCTAAAGACCCGAAAACATTACGTTAAAGATGTGGTTTCTTTTTGTTTTCTTTGCCCAAAAGGACAAAAACACCTGTAGGCATCTCAGTTATATTTCCAGGATTCGGATACCTTGCCTGACAACCTCAGAGACGTCTTTACCCTGGACGTGGGCCATGTATCCAAGGATGGAGAAGATGACAAATCCTGCCAAGATACTGGTGGCCGAGTTCAGAATGGTGACAATCATCATATCCCTGCAGCAGAGATAAAGACAGATCAATCAGAATGATACTTTCCAGCCTGGAAAAACCTGAGTTTCTTCTTACAGTGCCTCAAAAATAAAAGTGGAAATCCATCCAGGTGGCTTCGCCAAAATTTTGAAGTGTTTTGTTGCAAATTACACACAATGAACGAAAGAACCCGGACGTCCATCCGGGTGCCTGGGTCAGCTTGTTAAAAGACCAGAAATGAAAAAAAGGGGCGATGGGATATTTTTTATGCTGCTCTAAGACCCAAAATTTAAATGTAGGATGCGAAACTCTTGCTTCTGGTATTCTAAAAAATGTTCAAATTCCTGAGACATTTTTTCCAAATGAATGGTTATTTCCACCTGTATGTGTTGTTATGGAACTTGTTGTAAGACGCCAGTGTTTGCATACCACCCACAGCAATGGAAAGCGAATAGAAGATCTGCACCACTGCATCCAACCAAACCTGAGCAGAAAAAATATTAAAGCAGTCAAATGTCTATCCTTCATTTAATTGCCGATCAAACTTTAAAAAACCGCACAAGCTTACAATAATTAGTTTATTTTTTATTATGGCAAAATATGATTTTTTTTTGCAAAAACGTGGCTAAAATACAGTTCCTGGGATGGTAGTTGTCATCTTTGTTTAAATTCTGGCACTTTCTGTTCATAAAAACAGAATAGCACCATGTCTCCACGGAGCAACTAGCCTCCCTGACCCTTGATTGGCCACCGAACGAGGCATTCGTAGCAACTTGTTGAAAGCAATTCGTGCTTCAACCTCTGAACTCTCCTCAAAAATAAAGTACTTCTAGGCCTAATTTCCTCACCCCCCCAAAAAAACCCCATGAAACAAACCATATAGGGAAATTGGTGCATGTAAATGATTATAAGGATGAACAAAGACATTGACTGGAACGGGATTTGAACCTGCGACCTTCGGAACACCGTACCGGTATATGTGAAGCAAACTATGGGACAGAGAGCAACCCCCGCCTTTGTGTTGGTCATTGTTACACTGGTATCTCAGGAATTCTGTTGAGACATGGGGGGGGGTAGGTAACATTAGGCTGGAGTGCGTATAGGGATTAGACTTGTTAGGGGGGGTACCCCTCTGTCCCATTTCGTGCCTGGTATATACCAGTTGGTGTACCAACTTAGCTTCCAGCCCTCTGTTGGTGGCTCTTCCCATTTATCAATATTTTTGTACGGGAGGCACTACCCAGAAGCCATTCAACCTGACACAAAAAAATCACACAGCAACAGATTTCAAAATCAATGGGTAAACTTTGAGGTCCGAGTGAAAGCAAACATTTCACCCGTGTAAATGCCCCTGTAAGTCGCCTATGTTATAGACGCTCCCTTGAAAAGAGTAGCTTCGGACATCTCTCTCTCTCTTTCTTACTTGCTTCCAGGCGACGCAACCAGACGGCACGACGGCTCCCTTGCGTCGTGCCGTCCTGTCGAACCGTCGCCTTCTTGCCATTTCGTTTGTACACACACGACGCGTCGCGTCGTGTGTCGCGTCGTGCCGCCGCCCGTCGCGTTGTGCTGTCTTAGGTCCTTTCTTTGTTGCATTTTTTCTGCGTAAACGTCGCTCCTTCCGTCGCCCGTCCCGTCGTGCTGTCGTGCGTCGCGTCGTACGTCTTGTTGTGCATCGCGTCGCCTGAAGCACGACGCGACGCACGACGCGACGCGTGCTGTCGCCCTTTACTTCATGGTGTTTATAGAGGGCGCCTTACTGTTTTCTTTCATTTCCGTCCACCTTTCTTGCAAAGTACATGTAATTAGCTCTTTAGTGTTTTATCTGATTCTTTTTATCTCATCGATTCATTAATTGGGGTTAATTTCAGGCATATTTTATTGAAAAAATGATAAAAGAGCAAAAGAAAATCCGAATAAGTAGGATCTGCTCTCTCAAACTAAGTAACAATAGAATTAAGGCCTGGGGAAGGGGAAGGTCGGAGAAGGAAATGAAAGAAAACAGTAAAGGCGCCCTCTATAAACACCATGAAGCAAAGGGCGACAGCACACGACGTGTCGCGTCGTGCGTCGTGTCAGGCGGCGCAACGCACGACAGCACT